GTTGTGAGTTTGGCTCAAATAAACTCATAGAAAGTTTAAAAGGGAAGACAGAGGGAAAAGGATGAAAGGCAATGTTCTGAACATTATGATGTTTCTGAGAAGCAGGGTTATTTTTAATTTCCTTTTGCTATGAATGGAGACGTTCCAGTTGATTCCTTGCCTCCCAGTCCCCCAGCACCCCCAGAACAAGCCCTAGGGCCATATGGCTTGTTGTCCTAGGCAGGGTGCTTTTCAAAGTGAAAGGGGACACTGGGTCAACAGCCACACCAGGACCTGGCCAGGCAAACCAGAACATGTGGTCACTCTACCGAACCAACCCCCCGCCACACCTCCACCCACCCCTTCTGACCCCTGTGGGTTCTGTGGCCTAAACTGACACAGCCACGGGTTGGGGGGGGAGGTGGAGTTGTGTGTCCTGCTCTTAGCCACTGTGACAGAGAGTTTATTCGGACCAGTCCCCACAATGCTCTGTGAATTAACCACTAACTAGTTAACCTTTGTCACACTCAAGGGGAACTGTGCAGATTCCTGTCTTCCATGATGGAAAAGGCTGGGCCTATCTCACCCTCAGCCACCATCAGCGTTGAGCAGGAGTGCAGCTCAGGGGACCTCAGGCAGGCAGAGGCAGGACTGAGATTCCAGAGGAGGCGGGCCCTGTCATTGGCCAGGACGCCTCAGCCACCTCGAAGACAGTCAAAGGGCAGGAGAGCATGAAGAAGACACGAAGCCAGCACGCCGAAGGACTCTGTTCTTGACACAGAGATGGGTTATTTATCTCACCGCCTTCCACGGCTAACTGGAAAGGCCGAGCTAAGTGCCATTTTATCAGGGAGGTGAGGCGACGCCTCAGAATCCCAGATGACGCAGGGACTGGTCCATCGTTTAGACCAGGAGGGAAGCCGACCCTGCCAATCCTGGCTCAGCACAGAGTAGGAACTCGATGAATGTGCTTAGAAATATTGGGTTGGCCAAAATTCTGTTTAGTTCTTTCTGTAAAATAAGACACATTTTTTCATTTCCACCAATAATATTGTTGATTTGGATATTCTGAATATGCCGGCTATCTCCCACTATTGGCTTCTAGTGGGTAGAGGCGAGGGGCGCTGCTGAACATCTTCCAGTTCATACGACAGCCACGCTGCAGAGATTTGGCCAAAGTGTCAGTAATGCCAAGAAACTTCGCAAACCACTTTTACACGTTCAATCAGCCACAGCACCTTCTCCACACACTGCACAAATCTTTGTGTGTGTGTGTGTGTGTGTTTCAGTTGCATTTTTACCTTTCTTGAAATAATAAAGCATAATATGCTGAAAATGTATATTTTCTTCAATCTTCAATATTACAATGGCTGCACACAAATTCACCAGTTTTGATGTTTATTTTTTTATTTATTTTAAAGAATATATTTATTTTTTTAAAGATTTTATTTATTTTTAGAGAGGGGAAGGGAGGGAGGAAGAGAAAGAATCAATGTGTGGTTGCCTCTCACATGGGCCCCACTGGGGACCTGGCCTGCAACCCAGGCATGTACCCTGACTGGGAATAGAACCTGCGATGCTTTGGTTCACAGCCTGCACTCAATCCACTGAGCTACACCAGCCAGGGCTATTTTTTTTTTAATTTTAAATTATTTTTTAAGGTTTTATTTCTTTATCTTTTTTTAATATATTTTATTGTTTATGCTATTACAGTTGTCCCATTTCCCCCCTTCACTCCCCTCCACCCTGCACACCCTCTCCCACCCACTTCCCCGCCCTTTAGTTCATGTCCATGTGTCATACTTATAAGTTCTTCAGCTTCTACATTTCTCATACTATTCTTACCCTCCCCCTATTTCCTACCTACCATCTATGCTACTTATTCTCTGTACCTTTTCCCCCTCTCTCCTCCTCCCACTCCCCTGTTGCTAACCCTCCATGTGCTCTCCATTTCTGTGGTTCTGTTCCTGTTCTAGTTGTTTGCTTAGTTTCTTTTGGTTTTGCTTTAGGTGTGGTTGTTAATAATTGTGAGTTTGCTGTCCTTTTACTATACGTGTTTTTTTTTTTAATCTTCTTTTCTTAGATAAGTCCCTTTAACATTTCATATAATAAGGGCTTGGTGATGATGAACTCCTTTAACTTGACCTTATCTGAGAAGCACTTTATCTGCCCTTCCATTCTAAATGAAAGCTTTGTTGGATAGAGTCATCTGGGATATAGGTCTTTGTCTTTCATGACTTGAAATACTTCTTTCCAGCCTCTTCTTGCCTGTAAGGTCTCTTTTGAGAAATCAGCTGACAGTCTGATGGGAACTCCTTTGTAGGTTACTGTCCCCTTATCTCTTGATGCTTCTAGGATTCTCTCCTTCATTTTTACCTTGGCTAATATAATTATGATGTGCCTTGGTGTGTTTCTTCTTGGGTCCAACTTCTTTGGGACTCTCTGAGCTTCCTGGACTTCTGGAAGTCTATTTCCTTTGCCAGAATGGGGAAGTTCTCCTTTATTATTTGTTCAAATATGTGCTCAATCTGTTGCTTTTCCTCTTCCCCTTCTGGTACCCCTATAATTCGGATGTTGGAACGTTTCAAGATGTCCTGGAGGTTCCTAAGCTTCTCTTTATTTTTTTTTTAATTCTTATTTTTTTCATTCTTTGCTGTTTGGTTGTTTCTTTCTTCCTTCTGGTCCACTCTATTATTTTGAGTCCCAGTTTCCTTCCCATCACTGTTGATTCCCTGTGCATTTTTCTTCATTTCTTTTATGGTAACCTGCATTTTTTCATCTAATTTGTGACCAAAATCAATTCTGTGAGCTTCCTGATCACCTGATCACCAGTGTTTTGAACTGTGCATCTGATAGGTTAGCTATCTCTTGGTCACTCAAAAGGATGAGTTCTGGGGCACTGATTTGTGCTTCTGTTTGAGCCAGCTCTCTCTCTCTCTCTCTCTCTCTCTCTCTCTCTCTCTCTCTCTCTCTCTCTCTCTTTTTTGACTGGTCTCTCCTGTTACAATGAGGGGTGGAGCCTTAGGTGTTCACCAGGGCTGGGCACCCCAGTCACTAGATTGTGACGTTGTATGTGAGGGCAGGGTCAAGAGGGAACATTGATGGTAGCTCTGTTCCCTGTGGGATCTCAGTCCCTTCCCTGGGATCCTGGGTTGTGCGCTCTGCCCTGCTCCACAATCACTGCCTCACTGGGTCTGCCAGCTGCCACTTGCGTACTTGGGGTCCACCCACTGGGATCTTGCATGCCCCAGATGCCTTACGTGCTCCCGGTTGCCTTATGCGCCCTCTTCTCGTCTCCGCCCCTCCTATCGGTCCGGATGAACGGGTCTATTTCAACTTCTTGGCTGTCCGACTTCCATTCAGATAAATTTTCTATCAGTTCTGAGTGTTATTCTGCCTCTAAACTGTTGTTGTTCCGATCTTAATTGTGCGTGAAGGTATGGTGCATCCACCTATGCCTGCATCTTGCCGGAAGTCCCTATTTCTTTATCTATAGAGAGAGGGGAAGGGAGGGAGAAAGACAGGAAGAAAAACATCGATGTGTGGTTGCCTCTTGTGCACCCTCTACTGGGGAACTGGTCCAAAATCCGGGCATGTGCTCTGACTGGGAATTGAACCAGTGACCCTTCGGTTCACAGGCCAGCACTTAATCCACTGAACCATACCAGCCAGGGCTGATTTTTTTTTTTTTAATGCACACTGATATGACAGTTGTCACAATACAATCTAACAAAGTTGTTTCAAATGAAGTTATACACAAATAAGCACTACTAGACCCATCCTACAGAAAAAAAAAAAAACTAAATGAACTTGAACTTTTTGGCCAACCCAATAGATGGAAAGACATAGGCCAGCTGGCTGGCTAGGTGGGTTGGTGGATGGATAGATGGAGGGACAGACGGATGGGTGGATGAGTGGATAAGTGGATGGGGGGTGGGTGGATGAAGGGGTGGGCGGCGGGTGGATGGGGGTGGGTGACTGGAGGGGTAGGTGGATGGATGGGTGGGGGGTGGATGGGGGATGGATGGGGGTGGGTGGGTGGGGAGGATTGGGAGTGGGTGGAGGGGTGGGGGTGGGGGCACGGTTGTACAATGTTAGGCAGTTGCCCAACTAGATATTGAATGAAACCTACTATTGCTGGATCTGATCAAACCTTGATCCCTTGGAAAAGAAGTTTCCTCCTCATCTCTCTGGAATCTGGTCCCCAGCTCAGGCTCCATGGCCCGTGAGAGGGGAGCAAACTGCTCAAAGGCTTCCCCGGACGCCTGTTTCACATCGTTATCGGTCCCCCAACCCGGAAACCCAGCTGCGGTGCATTCCCACTCCCTCCCTCTCTTCCGATCTCCGGTCCTGCTGCCCAGGTGCCCCTGGGACGTATCCTCTCTCCATCCCTCCCGCCCACCTTGGTTCAGAGCTCATCATCTCTCCGCCTCTTCACTGGTCTCTCTGCTTCCAGACTCGCCCCGGGACATATCCCAAGCCCACCCCACCCAGAGGGGCCATTCTAAAATGTAGACAATCCCTTCTTGGTCTGGCCAGGCTCCACATTCTGTTAGGCTCTCACTCTGGACCCATGGTTGGGCATTGGAGATGCTCCAACATTGCACAGCACGAGGCTCCTCCAGGTCAGTCTCCCATTGCTTCTTCCATTACAGACTCCTTCTCCTCCAAATGTCTCCCCCTACCCAGACACACAGACCCACAGACACACAGACCCACAGACACACAGACCCATGGCAAGGCCCAAGGATGTTTGGGTCACTCCTTGGGGAGTCCTGTCAGGCCAAGAGTGAGGAGAAGGGGCTGGAGCCACAGAATCTTTGGGGACCCTGGCAACACAGTGCCTGAGTGGCTTCAGGGTCCCAGGGTGGAGGTGGGGTGCAGGCTGTGTTTGGGCCCTCGCTGGGTCTGGGCAGCGTTTCAGGCTGAGCGTCTGTGGGGCAGGGCGGGTGGGGGTGAGCCTGGATGCAGACTTCCCCTGCAGAGCTGACGATTAGCAATTAACTGGGAGGAATCTCGGGGATGAGGTTAATAGGGGAACAAAGGGAGGGCAGCTAGGGTTCTAGGGACTTTGCCCTTGACCTGAGGGTATAAAGTGGAGGGTCCCAGCTTCTCTTCAGGCTCTTGGGATTTCCCTGAGCAGCTGAGCAGGAGCCGAAACACAGAACCCCAAGGTGAGCCCAGGGCCCTCTCCTCCCTACCTTATCCCCACACATAATGAGGAACAGTTCCTCACCCCAGCCCCTCACCTGTGTCCTAACTGTGCCCCTCTTCCCACCCCCATAACATGTCAGTGCTGACCCAGTCTGGCTCACCCCCAAAGTAGAAAGGGCTGCGCTCCCCAAGGACCTGGCACTCAGCTTGGCCCCCCTGCCCCCACCCCACAGCCAGGGCCCCGTGGGACAGTGTTGGGAATGGGGGGGGGGGCACTGCTGAAGCAGACTGGGGCACCCCAGCCCCAAGAGCCAAGAACTCCTGGGGCAGTTCAGGGGGTGGGGATGCCTAAGCAGGCTTGGGCTTCCCAAATGTGGGGTCAATGTGGGGCCATTGTGGGGGGGACCTCCTTACCTAAACCAGCCCTGCTCTGAGCCGCATTCACAGGAGAAAGTCGGCAGGGCCTGTTTACTGTTGGGGGGACTGGGAGACGGACGGGGAAAGAGGTTCACTTGTGAGGCAAGCCCAGCCCGGTGGACGCTCCCCTGAGGTGCCTGTGGCTCCTTGCCACCACTCTCAGGACGGACAAAGCTCCTGTGCACCCATCCCCAGCCACCCCCCAGCCTCTGTCCCCTCGTTCCCTGGCCTCGCCCACTGCAGGGACTTCTTGGCTCCTGCCTGCACTTGGCCTGGCCTCAGCACCACCCCTTCCCCTTCTGCTGGTAACCTTGTGCTGGTTCCTCACAGCAGGATGCCCTCTTCCTGTCCCCCCAGGCACTCTGGTGGCACCCATATCTGCCATTGGAACCCTTGTCCTCATTGCCATTTCCCATCTACCTGAGGGATTATTTCATTGACATATATCTCCCCACCAAACTCTGAGCTTTGGGGGGGCAGGTGCTGTGTCTGTGTTCAGTCACCACGGTGCCCAGCATCTAGTTTGTGCCCAGGGCACCACAGACGCCCAATAAGTACTTGCTGAGTGAGTGAGCGCATGCCCAAATCTGTGCTGACCACCTGCGTGTGTGGCCCCAGGTGTGTGTGTGGGGGGGGGGCCTATGGGCGTGTGTTTGGAATCACACATCATGACTCTGTGTGCATGGGGGGTGGATGTGCGAGTGTGCAGGGCCCGGCAGCCGTCATTCACTGTTGCTGCAGAACCCTGCACATGTGCCCAGGATGATGTCCTACAGAGACAGGCTGGGGGGCCCTGCTGTCTCCCCACTCCCGGTCAGGGGCCATGTGATGCGTGGGGCGGCCTTTGCCTACGTGCCCAGCCCTCAGGGTGAGTGCGCTTCCACCCCAGACCCTGCTTGCTCACGGTTGCCCACACCCCAGGGGAAGCCTCCCCTCCTCCCCCCACCCCTCCTGCCCTTGGGGACCTGGGGCCTCTGGGGACTCCTGACCAGCCTCCCTCCCCAGTCCTGCACAGGATCCCAGGGACCGCTGCTTATGCCTTCCCCAGCCTGGGCCCGGTGGCCCTCGCTGAGCCCGGCTGCCCCTTCGGGGAGGTTCTAGAGCTCCATGACCCACTGCCCACCAAGCTGGCCCTGGAGGAGGAGCCGAAGCCAGGTGGGCCTCAGCGGGGGAGGCGGGGGTGTTGACCACCACTGCCCAGCCCTCTGGCCACACATTCACGATCGTCCCGTCTCCAGAGCCCGGGCTAGCCCAGAAGCTGCGCTGGGCTGCCGTGACGCTGCTCAAGGTGCCCCTGATGCTCGCTTTCCTCTATCTCTTTGTGTGCTCCCTGGACGTGCTCAGTTCTGCCTTCCAGCTGGCTGGAGGTACGGTCAGGGGAGGGGCCTGGGGACGGGTCCCTGAAGGGCCTTGGACAGTGTGGCTCATGCTTCCCAGGGAAGGTGGCTGGTGACATCTTCAAGGACAATGCCATCCTGTCCAACCCGGTGGCGGGGCTGGTGGTGGGCATCCTGGTGACCGTGCTGGTGCAGAGCTCCAGCACCTCCACCTCCATCATTGTCAGCATGGTCTCCTCTGGCTGTGAGTGTGCCCACAGGGCTGGGCTGGGGCACAGTGTGGGCAGTGGGGTATGCTGGGAGTGGGCTGGCAGCGGGCTGGGGGTGTGTCAGGGATGAGGGCAAGGGCAGGAGTGAAAATAGGGGTGGAGGGCAAAGGGCAGAGCTCTGTCATCTCCCCCTCTGTCCTCCTAGGCCTGGACAGGAGTCTCAGTCAGGAGGGGGGGTCTCAGGAGCTAGAAGGGTAACAGATGGGAGCACAGACCCAGGATGGCTCACCTCCACAGCACCACATGGTACTTATTCCACCAGTCAGGGGAACAGCACCAGGGAAATCAGAGAAGCAGAGCCTGTAGGGGGACACGTATGTCTATATACGGCTGCTTGCACGGACTTTGCCCGGGGACTGAGGCTGGCAGGCATGCCCACCGCTGGTGTGCAGGCCGCTGGGAGGGGCGGGTGGAACTCTGGGGCAGAAGCTGCAGAGCACAGGGAAGCCTCAGCAGTGCTCCGAAGGCCTTTTGCCTTGTGTCTCATTGGATGGGGCCCCCCAGATTATTGAGGTTTATCTCCTTTGCTTAAGGTCAGCTGATTGCGGAGGCAATCACACCTGCAAAACACCTTCACAGAGACTTAGCTACGCTGACACACGAAACTGATTGTCATACTTGTGTACAGATGCCAGTTCTAATCGATTGGCAACAGGTGCACATATTTGCACACAGGACACATGCCTTCATATATGCACGCCCACGCCCACGTTCATCTACATGCATTGGCTCACACGTGTTCACATATGTGAAACACATAGCACATACCCACAGGTACCTGCAGCACTGCTGCCCCGAGGGGCCCACAGCGTGGCAGGAATGCCCGCTGGGGGCCAGGACAGGGCAGAGGTGCTGGGGCGTGGGAGCTGGAAGTCCACGCCCCTCAGCTAAGAGGCCCCCTCGAACCCAGTGCTGGAGGTCAGCTCTGCCATCCCCATCATCATGGGCTCCAACATTGGCACCTCTGTCACCAACACCATCGTGGCCCTGATGCAGGCAGGGGACAGGACCGACTTCCGGCGGTGAGGCGGCAGAGGGGGAGGGGCCCGGGAGTGGGGGGCGGGTGGTCCAGGCCCGGCCTACCCTACAACGTGGCCTTCCTGCCCAGGGCCTTCGCGGGGGCCACTGTGCACGACTGCTTCAACTGGCTATCGGTTCTCGTCCTGCTGCCCTTGGAGGCTGCCACTCGATACCTGTACCACATCACTCGATGGGTGGTGGCCTCCTTCAACATCCTCAGCAGCCGAGATGCCCCAGACCTGCTCAAGATCATTACGGAGCCCTTCACTAAGCTCATCATCCAGGTGGGGCAGGGCTTGCCGGTGCAGGTGGGGGCTGGGCATGGCAGGCGCCCCTCCCTCATGGTGCCCACATCTGGCCCACAGCTGGACAAGTCCGTGATCACCAGCATTGCCATGGGCGATGAGTCCCTGAGGAACCACAGTCTCATCAGGATCTGGTGCCACCCAGACGCCACAGAGGTGAGTCCCAGGTCCAGCCCCAGGTGAGAGAACCACCTCTTGGGTCAGCCAACTGTAGGTGCCCTCGTCTCTTTACAAGGCTCCATGCAGACCCTAGACATCATTAGCTCGGAGAGAGCAAAGACGCGGCCCCTTTTCTGTGAGACCATGCCTCACGCTGACTCAAGGCAGCCATTACTGATCGATTAGAGTAAGCATGTAATTGATTAGCCCAGTGGTTCTCAAAGTGTGGACCAGTGGCACCTGTGCCACCTGGGAACCTGTTAGAGATGGGAAGTGTTCAGCCCCTCCCCTCCACCTGCCAAATCAGGAAACACTCGGGGGTGAGGCCTGGCAGCCTAATTTCAACAAGCCCCCTGTCTGCTCCATGCTCAGTTTAGGGGCCGCTGATCTGCCTCAACCTTCCGGTTTCACCAGCAGAGAAATAGGCTCCAAGGGGCAAAGAAACCTGCTACAGCTTTCCCTACCCTGTCAGGGCCCCAAGCACAGGTCTCACCGTCTAGGACTCTCTCTTCCCCACGGGGTACAGGGGTTTAGTGGCTCAACTCTGCTGAGCCTGGGGGCCCAGACATACGCAGAGAGGGCAGGGATGGAGTGCTACAAGGATGCCCAGGAGAGCAGGATGAACAAGGACAGGCCCAGGAGCAGGCCACGCAGGCCACGCGGACACCTCACTGGAGACACAGCAGCCCCTGGTGCTGACATCGGAGCTCCTTCCCCTGGAGACTCCCACAGGCCTGTGTCCCCTCGTCCCTCTACACTGTCTCTGCTGCTTCTGGCTTCTGCGGCCTGAATGAAGATCTCTCTGGATGAGTTGGACACTCATGGACTGGCTGTGACACCAGACTAACAAGGAAGCGGGCAACTAGCACACTTTCTCCCTCAGCCATCAGTGGGAATCCGCTCCATCAAAACCATAAGCCCCAGTGCCTGCTCCCCCTTGGTGATTACATATAAGAAGTAAACCCTCTTGGAACGAGAGAGAAGGAAACTCCAAGCCCACGCCTTTCCCCCTCATCATCTCCGCTTGCTACTCCATGTCACTGAGCCTTTATCCCGGTGTGTGTGGAGAGAAGCCTCTCACCCTGCCCTCCAAGGCTCCCTGGCATGGCACACAGCTCCAGCTGAGCCCTGCTGAGTGTTCGAGGCCGTCCAACATCAGAAAGCCAGCACAGGCAGCTTTGGTTCTGGTTTTGGGACCTCGCTGACAACCTCCACCTTGTCACCGGCTGGTGGAGCCCTCTCGAGCTCAAAGAATCATCACAACCTTCTCTGCTTCTTTGCAAAACCTGCAGGGAGAGAAATCCCCCACTTTGATCTTCCCAATAAAACAGGCCGTGGAAGGGAGCTCCGCGGCCCGGCTCCTCGCTGCTCGGAAGCCCTGCTGCCCACCTGCATCCAGCACACCCCCTGCAGCATGCACCACTGCATGCAGCCCTCCCCGACAACACCCTCACACGGTGCTGGTGAGGTGGACATGGCAACCCGTCTTCCACAGGAGGCCCCTGAGGCTCAGAGGCGTGCAGCAGCCTGCCCAAAGTCACTCAGCTGGGCTGTCCTCGCTGCTCCAGCTGTCACCTATCTGAGCCCTGGAGACCCTTTAAGAGCAGTTTCCTTGGCTTGGAGAGTAACCAGGGGGTGGGACCTGAGCTCCCTGTTCTTGCTGTCTCTCTGGGACAGCCCCATAGGATGTTGTTCATGCAGCTGGAGGTGATGTGTGCTGGCGGATCCTCTAGCACTGAAGACTAGGGTTTTGCTTTGGCCACTGAGTCTCCCTGCACTCCCTTCCAGCCTGTCCCCGTTGCCTCCATGCTTTCGTCACGCTGGACCTGAACTCGCCCAACCCAGTCTCTAGTGAACCATGTTACCAAGGAGAAGACTAGGAATCTGAGGTTGTCCAGATGGGGAAAGAAAAAGCAGAGGCAGTTTTAGTGCTGCTACAGCCCTTGGCGCTCTTGTGCAGTCGCACTGTGGACTGCCAGCCAGACTGGGCTGGTGCCAACAAGCATTTTGTGAGGACTTGCAATCTGAGAAGCAGGGGTGACTACATCCCTATTTTACAGATGAGGAAACTGAAGCTCAGAGAGGCTTGCCCCAGTTCATGTGATTGATGAAGGAGGAAAATCCTGGTGGAACTTGGAACCCGTGTTCCTGAATTTTCATCTTAAAGCCTCTTCCAGATGCCAGTCTGGAGCCCCACCACTCACGTGCATTCCCCATTGTGCCCATCACATGCGAGGGCCACCAGGTGGCCGCAGCCACCCAGATAAACCCACTGGTGCGGCAGGTGATGCTCTAAGGAGTTCCCCTGTCTACCACCAGATGGCGCTGCCGGCGTGGCGATCTACCCCTCAGAAACAAAGACCCTTAGTGCCCTCCCTTGGAGGGGAAGCTAGTGCGCAGGCCCCCAGCCTGGCTCTCTCCCCAGGAAAGGATTCTCGGAGCCTGGCGTTCTTTTTTTGTGAGCTTAATCACCTCTCAGTTCCCAGAGGTGCCTCCTTAATTTGGGATGGCTCTGCAGACATTTCAGTCCCAAATCTCTCTTCCGAGATTCCTCACAACTAGCCTCTGGGGAAAGGCGGGCAGGCTGACGAACCCCTGCCGCAGGGGAAGAAATGGAGGCCGGAGAGGCTGTGTGTCTGGTCCAGGGTCACACAGCTGGGAGTGTTCAGCTGGGGTTTGAGCCCAGGGCCGCCGGAGGCTCATCTGCTCTCTGCTTCCCACTGAGTTCACCACCCCGACCACATGTCACCCCAACACTCCCCCCGAATTGCACCACACCCCCAGGAGGGATGGCCACATCCTGGGTGGGATGTCCCAGACCCTGGGCTTGCCAGTTCTTTATCTGGCTGCAGCTTCCACACTCTCTCTCCTCCCCTTGACAGCCTCTGAACTCCCCTGTGAGCTCGGCCAGGGCCGCACCGCACACCCTGGGCAGGAATGTCAAGGCTCCAAAACCCCAGAGGCCTTAGCCCTTGCCCTTGTCCTGCCCCAACACTGCCAGCTCCTAGGGGATCGCAGAGAAATTCCTGCCCTTCTCTGGCCTCCCAGAATCCCACAGACCCCTTCCCCACTCATCTCCGGGCATCACCTGCTTCCCTGGGCTCCAGGCTGGGGTCCCCCAGGAAGGAAGACCCACCAAGGTCCCCTCCAACAGGGTCAAGGTCCTCAGGCATATATGTGGGAACCACTGATTCTAACCTGAGAAGTCAATCCCCCCCCCACACACACACACCCTTCCCAGGCGATGGGCCCAGGGAGGGAAGGGGTCTGTCCTTATCTGGAGCCATTGTCATGAGCTAAGTCCTTAGGTGAGCGTCTCACACACATTTTCTCCTGTAACCCTGTAAACAGCCCTTTCACTGTCCTGCTTCAGAGAGAATGAGCTCAGGAAGGGGGCAGGGCGTGCCCAGGGTGGTTGGTGTAAGAGGCAGGGTTTGAACTCAGACCTGCCTGACAGCAAACACCTGGCTCTCCCCTCACACCTGGCTCTGTCCCTCACACCTTACTGTCCTTCACACCTGACTCTGTCCCTCACACCTTACTGTCCCTCACACCTGGCTCTGTCCCTCACCTGCAGAGCAGTTCCTACCATTTGCTTGGCTTTTCTAACCATGCCCATCAGAGACTATTTCCTCCTGGTTTCTCAGCCTGCTTGGGAGTGCCCCGAGGCTCTGGTGTGACAAGCTGGGAACACAGCCGAGCACGGTGCCCTTGCAAGGGAGCACACACCACTAAAATAAACCCCAACCTAAAGCCAGGTGCCATAAATAGGTCTCATCTTATCATACGTTTTTTAAATGACACAGTTTAAAATCAAACCTAATGGAGCTGTAACATAAAGTGCCAGGACCCCACCTGCACCTGTACCCTCAGCACGGGGGCAGGTCGGCGGCGCGTGGAATGCGGAGCTCCAGGGGAATGGAGCCAGCAACCATATCAGCTCCCAAAAGAGGCAGCACGGTTTGTCTGTAGGGACAAGAGAAGTTGTGGCTCTGGCATTTCACCTGGGGCCCTGGGAATGACTGCTCTTTCCGGCCCCCACGCCCTCAATGAAATTGTAGGTCCCAGCCCCAGCCCAGACCACTTTCTCCTCTTGTGCTGGGGTCTGGGGAAGGGGGGCGGCATTTAAAAACAATAACTCCTTAACCCAACGAGGCTACAAGTGAATGCTCCCCAGACCAGACTGACTTTCCCAGAACGGTAAAGCATGTCTTAAAGTGGTTGTCAACATTTGCAAATTGGGAGGTTTTACCTAAAACTATAGAACTGTGGTTTCTCTTGTTGAATTGGGCCCTTTGCCATGCTGTACTGTGCCCCTGGAGGCTAACGGTGGCCTGGAGCTGAGGGGCTGTGGCCCCCTGCAGGCCCGGTACACTGCGTGCACCACCTCCAGCTGAGCCCCTCGGTTAGGCTGCTTGCTTGGCCCTGGGTCCTCTGGCTCGAGGAGCCTCCCCAGAAACCCCCATCACTTCACTGATAGTAAGTGGGGAAGGAAAAAGCTGTGGAGCCTGGGGCCTGGGCCCCCCAGGGGTTCCCTCCCCCCCCCCCGCCCAACTCTCTCCATATAAGGAAGTGAACAAAAGAGAAATGGAGCTTGGGCCTCAGATGGGAGGCTGGGCCAGGGTGCTGGGGTAGAGAGGGCACCGAGAGGGATTGGCAATAAAAATGGGAGAGATTTCAGGAGAAGAGAACTGTGGACAGCAGCCTCATGCCAGGAGAGGTGGCAGAAAGGAGGACAGGAAGCCACCGGGTCAGCGGGCCCTGTGAGCCCAAAGAACCAGCTCAGGGGACTGTCGGGGCAGAACTGCAGAGGGCTGACCGTGGCCAGGCCTGTGCGGCAGGTGTTTCCGCTCTCGCCTCTGCAGTAGAGGAGACAGGCTCAGAGCAGGCAAGCACAGCACCCAGGGCTGCACAGCACCCAGGGGTGTGCAGCCAGGAGGCCCATCATGGTGCCCGCAGGCCCATCTCTTCCGAGTCTCCGCCTTGGCCCCAACTCTAGGCTGCATTTTCTGGAATTTTCTAAGTCACTCTCCTTGTAATCTAGGTTTCCACCCCCATGTCCAGGGCAGAGGCCAACAGCAGCCAGACCCTCGGAAACTCGAGCATGGAGAAATGTGAGTGTCTACCATGCAAGAGAGGCCTGGCCTGGCAGGGCAGAGCCAGCAGAGGCAGGGCTGCCCCCAGGAAAAACAGCTGCCAACCAGCCCAGCTCCTGGGCTCAGGTCAGGCCGGTTGTTGAGGTTTAAGGGACTGAGGTAGGGCCTTAGGTGCCTTAGGTGGGGGGCTGGGAGCCAGGGGGTGTCAGCTCTCAGCAACCTGACACCCCCCCCCAACAGGCAACCACATCTTTGTGGACACAAGTCTGCCTGACCTGGCTGTGGGGCTCATCCTGCTGGCTGGCTCCTTGGTGCTCCTGTGTACCTGCCTCATCCTGCTTGTCAAGATGCTCAACTCTCTGCTCAAGGGCCAGGTGGCCAAGGTCATTCAGAAGGTCATCAACACCGGTGAGCGCTAGGCAGCCGTGGGCCGGCCCGGCATGGGCCTTTGCAAATCGCAGTGACCCCTGCCGCTGCCCCGCTCCGAGAGCTGGGGAAAGCCCTGCCACCTCTGAGCCTCGGTTCCCTCCTGTGAACAAAGAAGAGATGGAACCTGGTGGTCTCTGAGGCCCCCGAGGTGCTGGCAGCTGGGGTCTGTCAGCAGGTGGCTCTAAGGAGATTCTCAGAGGCCTCTGTGATTGAATCAGCAGGTAGTCAGCCATCAAGCCCCTACCTGTGCCAGGCTCGGTGTAGTGGGAGGGGAGAGAAGTGAGGTACAGGAGACAGGTCCTGCCCTGGGCTGGGTGGAGGTGGGGGGGTGGTTCTCAGCCTGGAGGCGGAGATGGCTGTGAAAAACAAACGGTGGGGCTGGGGCGGGGGGGGGGAGGTCAGCCAAGGAGGAAGCTGAAAGGCAATACAATGGAGTATGGAGGAGGCTGCTCCCAGCAGGTGGTGAGTGGCCCCAGTGCAGGGGGCACATTTGAGCAGAGACCTAAATGAGGAGTCAAGATGTAGCTGAACGGCCTTCTGGGTGGCAGCAAGCAGCAGGGGCAGGTCTGTGGCCAGCGTGTGGTTTGGGGAAGGGGCAGAGAGAGGTTGGGGGGCGGGTCTGGGAGGTAAGGAGGAGGGGTCACAGGGCCATAGGCTGTGCTCAGGGTCTGGGCTTTACTAAGAACAATGGGGACACTCGGGGGATCTGATTTTCATTTTCAGCTTCATTCTGGGCTTTTCAGGATGCTTCCTGGCCGCGGGCAAGGCTGCGTGACAAATGCAGGAAGGGAGCTCAGTGGTGGGAGGAGGGTGGGGCAGGGAGGGCTCTCCACCGCAGGCTGCCCGGAGGGTGGGCATACAGGAGAGCGAACAGCCTGGGCAAAAGCGAGACAGAGCCAGGCGGAGACAGGCCTTGAGTCCGGGACCGGAGGGCCAGTAGACCCCATCCCAGTTGAACAGGGGACTGACAAGGTCCCACTTGGAAGCTGGCATCCAAGACCTCCGGGAGGAGGGTCCCTACTCTGGTCCCAACGCTCGCCCCGCACTGACCTGCTGGGATGGGTTATTCGCAGACTTCCCCGCCCCCTTCACCTGGGCCACGGGCTACTTAGCCATGGTGGTGGGCGCCGGCATGACCTTCGTTGTCCAGAGCAGTTCTGTGTTCACCTCGGCCATCACCCCACTCATCGGTGAGTGTCCGTGCTCAGGGTGGGAGTGCCGGGTGGCAGGCAAAGGGCTGCAAGGGGAGCCGGGGAGACCACACCCTGCCCTCTGCCTCCCAGGCCTAGGTGTGATCAGCATCGAGCGCGCCTACCCGCTCACGCTGGGCTCCAACATCGGCACCACCACCACGGCCATCCTGGCCGCTCTGGCCAGCCCCCGGGAGAAGCTGCCCAGCGCCTTCCAGGTATGCCCCAGGGAGTAGCTCTGCCAGAGGGAGGGTCAGACGGGGCCGGAGTGTGGCGCTGGCCCAGGGTGGGATAACATGAAACAGACTTTTGACTGCTGACCAGGGGCCATCTGCTATGCCAGGCTCCGTGGCAACCCTACGGGCGAAGTAGAGCTGGTGGCTACTTTTCACTTAGTAAAGATGTGACTCAGAGTCACACCAGTAAATGGCCAGTGGGGTGTGCACTCTGAGGATGCTGTGAGAGGGGGCCTGGCCCGGTCTGGGGGATCAAGAGTGAGCAGGGGAACATGGCAGAGAGGTGCCTGTTCTGGGAGCAAAGGCGTAATGACGAGCCAAGGACGAGGGCCAGGGTGTGACCCCATCAGGCGGCCAGAGCTGCTAAGCCAGAAACTAGGAAGAATCTTGCAGGTGCTGGGCTTGGGCAGGATCTTCCAAGGAACTCCTGAAAGGGAGGTTTGTGAGGGAGATGTGGAGAGTTCTGGGCAGTGGTTATTTGCCCGCTGACCCAGAAGTGTTACAACGTTTTACGGGGGGCACGTCAACCCTATGGTGACTTTCCCGCCTCCCGGACCAGACCGGGCCCCTCTGAGCTATTCCCACGTCCGTGCCCACCTCGGCTCCTTCCCCCTCTCTCCTGCAGATCGCCCTCTGCCACTTCTTCTTCAACATCTCGGGCATCCTGCTGTGGTACCCATTGCCCTGCATGCGCCTGCCCATCCGCATGGCCAAGACACTAGGCAAACGCACCGCCAAGTACCGCTGGTTTGCCGTCCTGTACCTCCTGCTGTGCTTTCTGCTGCTGCCCTCACTGGTGTTCGGCATCTCCATGGCAGGCTGGCGGGCCATGGTGGGCGTGGGTGCGCCCTTCGCGGCCCTGCTGGCCTTCGTGGTGCTCATCAGCGTTCTGCAGAGTCGCAGCCCGAGACACCTGCCCAAGTGGCTGCAGACCTGGGAGTTCCTGCCCCACTGGATGCACTCCCTGCAGCCCCTGGACCGCCTCATCACCCGGGCCACCCTGTGCTGTGCCAGGCCCGAGCCCCGCTCACCCCCGCTGCCTACCAGGGTCTTCCTAGAGGAGCTGCCCCCAGCCACACCCTCTCCCCGCCTTGCCCTGCCTGCACACCACAATGCCACCCACCTCTAGGCTGCAGCCCTGACTGCCACTAGGGTGGGGAACGGCCTGTGCCTGATGCCCTCGGTGGGAGGCCAGGGGCTGTCTAGGTACCCTGGGCTCACTCCTGTGCTTGTGCAGGTCCCCAGAGGTCTGGGCTGTGGGATCCTGTGTGTTGGCCTGCACAGGTGCACAGTGCAGAGCCCCTGGGGCTCTGTGCAGGCCACAGCTGGCCTGGGTGTGACTTTCAGTCCTTTGCACACTGTTTGGAGGCCTGTCCTTGTGTAGTTGTGTCCACACAGCTCCAGCTGGGCCGGTTGGAAGTAGGGAGGATCTGAGTGTGTGATTTGCCGCTGTCTGCTCGTACATAACTGTGGTTGGTGCCTGAGTCACTGGCTGGATTCTCGCCCCCTCCCCATCACTATCCTTCATCCTTGACACCATGCTTCTCATCCTCACCCGGCATTCTGCATCACCGCTACAACCCCTTTCCGAACACTGCCTGATTTAAAGTGGGGGGGGGGGGGAATAATTAAACTTTCATTATGCACTTGAACATCAGTTTGCTCTCATCTAATGGTGAGGAGAGGCCATGGGCTGGGACTCAGAAACACCACTCCCCCCCAAGACAGCCGCTACTCCCAGAGAGAGTGGGCCTGCAAGCTTGCCCAGCAATCCTCCTGGCCGTGCCGTACTGAGTCCAGTCCACAGCTCAGACACCCTGCAAGCCCCCCAAGGCCACCGGCAGGGCATGTGCCCTCAGGTTCTCTGCACCTCCATTCCCCACCCCACCAGGCTGACTTCCTCTGGTTCCTCCTGGTCTCTGTGTTCACCCACGTCTCGGGCTCCCTCCCTCCCTCTTTTGGCTTTCCTGGTGCTCATCAGCGTCCTGCAGAGGCACAGCCCATGGCACCTGCCCAAGTGGCTGCAAACGTGGGATTCCTGCCCTGCCAGACATGAAATCAGTTCTCCCCAAAACAAGTGACAGGTGACAACTTATCAGGGCCACTGGGGGAGGGGCCAGGAAGTCCGGGATGGACAAGAGAAGCCATGCCCTGTGTATCAGCATAGAGAGAGCAAGGACCAGCCATCCTCCCTCCTCCCAGCTTGGCCCTCTATCTTTGGCAATAAACCATGCCTCATTTAACCCACTCAAGTTTTCAGTTCCTCTTCCTCCACAGCCTTCCCCTAACCCCAGCTGAGGCCTACAGGGCTCAGGTCAAGGGGCAAGAGGTGTCAAAGCTCCCCCCTGTAGTCCAGGGACATCTCTGGAGCCTTCGGACCCCAAGGAGACAGGAAGGCTGTAGGGCCCAGACCCAGTTGTGATGGTCTTGGACGTGTTCCTTCACCGCCACCACCCCCCGAGCCCCTCCATAGGGCTACATGGGGGAAATGCAAAGCCCTGGGATGATCCCTGAGCTCCCAGCCACACCCTGTCCCTCACTCACAAGCCTTGCTGGTGCTTTCTCCTGGCAAGTGGAAGGGTGAGCAGCGCTAGGGTGGGGAGGAGACTCCCTTTACAGTTCATGGGGAAAGATTCTTAAAGATTTTATGTACTTAAAGAGAAAGAGGAAGGGAGGGAGCAAGAGAAACATCAATCGGGTGCCTCTTGCACGCCCCCAACCAGCGACCTGGCTCACAACCCAGGCATGTGCTCTGACTGGGAATCAAACCAGCGACCTCTTGTTTGCAGACCTATGCACATTCCACACAGAACCACTCCATCCATCCAAAGCATGTGGGGAAAATTTTGTGGGAAAGCATGTTCGGCCCTGAGCAAGAGGGTTTGAGAAGGCTGCTCCCTAGGGCTCTTACTCAGATGTAGTGTCCCTAGGACCCTGGGAAGACTTCGAGGTCCCCACCCCTGACTCTGGCCTGGGGAGCCAGTCAGGGGCCTCTGCAGGGCACCCACAGAAGGGCCAGGTCCAGGGCATGGGAGGCTGGGGAGCCTCTGGACCCAGGATCCCAACCCTACCAGGTAAACCTTCAGCAAGCACCTTGCGGGAAGCCAGTGTCCCCCTCAGCAACCTGTCCCCTTCCCCCACACAATGGGAGGATGTGGGCCGTGTCCAGGTCTGCCTTTATTGTGGTTCCACTGCCAACGTGGCTGCACTGCTAGGTGCCCTGAGTGCCCAGCCACTTGATCAGGTCATGTGTCGTCTTGTTGAGGATGCCCCCGTGCACACCCCGACGGCCCATGAGCACGAGGAGCACTCGCGGCGTGTGGCCCACGCAGAGGGCGCGCCCATCCAGCCCCTTGGTGCGCGCGTCCAGCACACCATCACCCTCCTCCTGCAGGTGGTCCCGGATAACGCAGCAGCGGCGGCCGGCCACGCTCAGGCCCGCCTGCAGAAAGGTGCAACGGTCAGGCCCGGTGAGCACGCCCACCTCCTGCGGTGAGATGGCTGCCAGCAGGCCCCCAGGCCGCGATGCCCACACGCAACGGTTGTCCGAGTGGCCCACAATGGCCACATCGTCGATGCGCTGGTCTCGCAGCACTGCACTGATGTAGCCTTTCCACTCACCCATTCGGGCTCCAGGTACGCCCCTCGCCTGGTACTTTTGAGTGTTGTGGGGCTGCTCCAGCCTAAAACACCTGTGGCACTGTGATAGGTGTGGGGGCAGGGCTGTGATGTCACAGAGCAGCTACCTCCAGCTGCGGAATGAGGGCGCGGTTGTATCTCACACCTGGTGAAGGTGACCTTTAGTCTGAGGAAGGGGATCACCCAAGAGTCAAAATAATCCTTGAAAACCAACGCAGATGGCCACGAGCACAGTGCACACGAGTGTGAAAACACAGAAACAAACAAGATGCCACCTCTGGACAGTGGGACCTCTGCTCCTGGTCCCCAAACATGGTCCCCAAATGTTAGGAGCATCAGAACCTCCTGGAAAGCTCTCATACAGGTTGCTGGGCCCCAGCTCAGAGTTTCCGGTTCAGCAGTAGGGCATGTACCCCCCGAAAAGGCCTTTCTAACAAGTTCCCTGGTGAGGCCATTGCTGCTGGTGCAACGACCACATTTTGAGACCTGCGGCCCTGGTGCAGGTTGGGTGGGAGTAAGGGGACTTCCACGTTGGCTGTCGGCGCCAAGGGTCCACACCACTATTAGAAGGTTAAGCATCTCTAACCATGGCTCCCAACCCCAGCTGCACCTGTAATCATCACCTGGAGAGTTTTTAAAACGTGCCCCTGCCCCATTCCTAGAGCTATGTGCTGATTTAATCGATCTGAGGTGGATCTTGGGCATAGGTTCAAAAATCTCTCCAGATGATTCGGATGAACAGTCAAGGTTGAGAACATCTCCGTAAGTGGAAAATATTAACGTTTCATCCCAGGAATAACCTGTGCACAGGACTCAGTACGCCCGGATTGGTCAACGTCAGCTGGGCAGGAGTCTAAACCTTGCCTAAGATCCCAGGAGACCCTGGTCTCTGGGGGCTGCGGAGGGAGCTGGGCCTCTCGAGCATCGCCAGAAGCACTTTATTGACAGTTTACGCCACGCCTGGCGCCGGGCTGGCGGCGCTGCAGCACAATCCTCGCCATCCAGGATCAGGTCCAGCAGTCCTCCCATTCCAGAATCACCGAGGAGGAAAAGACATGTTCCTGGGTGGTCAGGAAGCGGTGTGCTCCCGGATCCAGGTCAGGTAGTTGGCCACGTCGGTGTACACACCCGGCTTATTGCGGTCGCCACAACCCGAGCCCCAGCTGACGATGCCTCGCAGGATGAGCCGGCGCTCTGCAGCCTCCTCCTCACATACCAGTGGACCCCCTGAGTCACCCTGGGTCGAGGGCACAAGGCTCAGTGCCCTTGGCCTGGGGTCTGCGCTTGCCGGGGTGGGGGCTGGGCGCAAAGCGGCTAGAGGGTTCACCTGGCACGCGTCCACGCCACCCTCGGGGAAGCCGGCGCAGAGCATCCCGGGGACGAAGGCTGCACCGTGCATGCTGGGAGAGGAGCAGCTCTCGGGAGGGATAAGCGGCACCTGCGCCTCCTGCAGAAAGCTGGCGTATTCCTCCGCCCCTGCAAGCAGAGAACGTTCTCCTCAGACTCCTCCCACCTCCGCTCCCCGCCTGGCCAGGGGACCTGACCTCACAGCAAGCCCGTGAGGGAGAGAGCTGCTGGTAACCCCATTTCCTGGACCGGAAAACTGAGGCGGGAGACAGTGGTGGCGGGGTGGGGGGGAGTGGGCGGGGCGAGCAGCCCTGCTTTGGAAGCCCTCGAGAGTGCTGGGCGTGTCCTAGTTAGCCTTGCAGCCCGGCGCCCAGTGGGAACCAAGAGAAAGTGTGACCTTGTGCCCCTCATTCGCTTGGGGGCCCCCAACAGTGAATCCCAGGACCTGGGACGGACGGCTGCAGTAAAAAGGACTCTGAATGCCCTCACAACCCACCAGGTCAGCGCCTCCTGTCCCTCGTGATATCCAAGCGGCGGGCTTTTCTTGCTTACCCCGGTGGCCAGAGGTCTCCCTCCCGCCCCAGCGGTTCTGCCTACCCTCGAATTGGTGGCCCCAGCCGGCTACTTCGCAGAGCACAGCCTCGGTTTCCGCAGGGTTGCCGGCGCTGCTCGGCAGGCAAACGGGCCGCACAGAAGGCGACAAGTGCGCGCAGCGGCCGTCCGAGCTCTCATGCAAGCGCAGCAACGCTAACCCGGACGGAGAGGAGCGTGAGGCCCCTCACACCGGCCTCCGAGCCTTTCTCACAAGGCCCCTGATCCCCGCGGGGCGCCCCTACGCACCCAGGTCGTGCTGATAGGTGATGGGCGAGAAGGCCTCATGCAGGTGGTAGGTGCGCACAGCCAGCGTCTGGCACTGCTCACAGCTCTGGTTATGGCGGTCCTGGCCCAGCACCACAGTCATCTCCTCCGGCGCCGGCCTATGGGCGTGGTGGGAAGAGATGCGCGCTCAGAGTCGGCCACAGGCAGCCTGGAGGATCCCCGTTTCCGAGCCGCAGCCTGAGTTTCCGCTTCCTCCAGGGGAACTCTGGAGGGGGAAGTGGGGAGAACAGGGCACGGGTTCGCGTGTCGCTGCGGAAGCTAGGCCCAGAGAAAGCAAGCCGATTCCCGAGCTGGCGCTGGGCAGGCGGTACTGGCCGGTTCTGCAGGCAGTGAGCCGCGGTCAGCACCCAGCAGGGGGCGATGAGGCTGCCAGCGCAGAAATTGTGGCCCCAGTACAGTGCGGCGATGTAAGGGTGCGCTCCGGGCAGCGCCACCAGTCCCCCGACGACGCGGCTCAGTGAGGGCAGCCGTTTCTGCAGCCGCTGTCCGCAGCCCTCCAGTTCGGTCCCAGGCCCGTGCGAGACTGTGGAGGAGCTCAGGCTGAGGCCAGGGAGACCCAGGAGTAGCTGGAACATAGCTCGCCCACGCCCCCTCTGCTTGGTCTTCCTGACCCTTTCCCAACTACCTGGGGTCTCGAGCTGAGGCTCCTCGTCTTGTGCAAGCGAGGGCAGGGGGAGGTCCGGGAGCTCACGGCGGGGTTGGGGCGGAGGCGGGAACTGGGGCTTTGTGGAGGCTGGGGCTCGGCACCGTGGTAGGCTGCAATATTCCCAGCTCAGCCGGCCGCCTCTCCGCACGAAACACCACGGGCGGGTATCATTGTCCGGGTTCCTGCAACCACCGGGGAGGACACTGGTAGAGCGTGGGGACCGCCAGGGGGTCCTGAGGAGGAGGGGGACACTGTGCCCTGCCCCACCCTGCGCACCGGCACAAGGCATGGTCGCCCAGTCCCCAGTTCAGCGCTTGCTCTACAGTCAGGTTCTGGTAGGTGGCGTCCAAGGTCCATGGCTCACACTGTGCGTTGGAGACCGTGGTCCCAGCGGTGCCTCGATAGCTGATCCCTCTGCCTTCATAGCAGCTGGCCTCAAGATCTGGGGAGAGGGGAGGCTCCCTGCAGCCAGCAGGTGGTATAGTGTCCCTCCCGGATCTCAGCCACTTTCCTCACTCAGGTGCCTTTCTGTGAGCCCTCCCCACTTGGGGGTGGGGCTTCTGCCTCCCACTTGACCAGGACTCACCCACATCGCAGATGCGTCCTCCATAGCCCTTGGGACAACTGCACAGGTGGTGGCCCTCCGCCTCCAGGCAGCGGCCCCCGTGGAGGCATGGGTTGCTGCGGCAGACTGGGAGAAGGAGCGCATTGAGCCCCCTCTGGGCCCAAAGACCCCACAGAGAGACCTTGCCCTTACCTAGGCACACCGCCTGGCCTTCTGCAAGCTTTTCTTCCCTTCTCCCAACCTCTGACCTTTGATTCTCCTCCTGGCCAGTTTCCAACCTATCCACTCACCCTGGCTGGCCAGCGGCTTGCAGTGGGCTTGGGGACCCTGGCACTGGCATCTGGCCACACCCGCTGGCTCCAGCCTGTGCCATATTTCATTCTGATGGAAGAACTGGAACAGCTGAGGCTCAAAGCACTTCTCTGGGAACAAAGTGAGGCGATGGTCTCAGGAGAGGCTGGGACCAAGCCAGGTCTCTGGGGGCCTGGGACCTCCTCAGTAGGTGGGGGCTACCTCCCCCCACTCCCCAGACCCCCCCCCACACACACACACACCCACTGCAGCACCTCCTTACCTCTTTGGCAGTGCTTCCCAGTGAAGCGTTGGGGACAGAGGCAGTGCGGGCCCCCCGGACTGTTCACACAGGTCCCTCCCCTCTGGCAGGGGTTGTGCTTGCTGCAGGCGTCTGAGAAAGGGACACAGTGCAGGGAAGGGGGGGGCCTGAGTCAGGCATTTGGGAACCACATCCACACCCGAACCTCCTTGTCTTATCTTTTTACCTTGTTCCCAGACCTTAGTTTATCCATATGCAAAATGGGGCTCCTCCCTCCCCAAACTTCTCCCTCCGGAGGGAGGAAGGGGCTAGGTGGGCCCAGAACCCCAGGTGAGTAGGGTCTGATGAGGCTCAGGAGAATAACCAAGGGGGAAGAGAGGACATTGGGCCCCCCCAGAGACTGCGTGTGGCACCTTGCACTTTCTTGGGCTCCAGGCAGTATGCCCATCGTTGGTCCTGCTCGAAGTTGGGGGTAGTGGCACACCTGGAGAAAGAGAGGGGGCTCCCTGCTTGCCCAGGCAGCTGGCCCACCCTCCCCTATCACAGCCTCCTGTCTGCAAGCAGCGTTCCTTAGGTAGAAGGGTAGGCAGAGTCCATCTCCCCAAGCCCCTGCTCCAGCCCCTTTGGGGTTGTCTTACCAAGGCCGCAGGCCAGGTCGGCCCCTGCGGGTACACCTGTGGTACAGCTGCCGGTGGTACCAGAAAGGGAAGTGGCAGGGCTCCCCAGTGTCAGTGAGAACTGCAGGGACAACACACCCTCTGAAGGCATTCCCTGTGCCCAGTCTCCCAGGCACCACCCTCCGGGTCTAGTTGAATAAGGGTAGACCCTTGAAAAGATCACTGTGCCTTCAAGCTTCCCACTTAAGGAATTAGGCCCTGGAGTCGGCCAGCTGGAGTGGACTCGGACTCCAGCGCTTCTGAGCTGTGTAACTTTGGGCAAGTTGGCAGCCTGCCACCCCCTACCCCCATATTTGAAAGAGTGGTTGCCACAAAGTAGGTGCTTCATAAATACTTGTCGAATGTTCAAGTCACTTGGTCACTCTGAGCCTTAGTTTCCTCGCCTGGAAACTGGCAATAATAGTGGAGTCACAGAGTTTCAGTTTTGCAAGATGAAGAATTCTGGGAATGGCTGGGGGGGACAGTCGCACAATATGAAGGTTCTTGATGCCACCGAATTGTTCACTTAAAAGTGGTTAAGATGATAAATTTTATGTGTTGTGTATTTTATCGCATAAAAATTTTACATGATTATATATGCATATACATATATATAAATATATATAAATACAGAAAGGTGTTCATGATTTTAAACAAAGAACAGCAGGTTACAAATGGCACATCAGTATGAGTATGGTCTTTTCTTTGTCCAAAGACCTGCAAGTACACCTCAAAAAGAAATCTAGAAGGACATGCTCAAAGTTTTCAAGAATGGTTTTTGGAAGATTGTGGATTATGGATGACTTTTTTGTTGTTTTGAATTTTTTGTCATTTCTGAAGTTTTGCCAATAAAAATATATATATTGCTATTACAATTTAAAAAATGGTACCGTCCAGCCTCCTCATTTGCAGAGTCAGCATTTGCAAAACTGCCTTCAGGGTAAAATTTGTCTGTAAAACCCCAATCAGTTCTCCAGAGGCTTTCTCCGTCATTCGTGGACACGCAGAGTCTGAGTCACCAGAGAAGCCCATGTTCCCAGCAGAGGTCAAACCAGGTGGCACTGCTTCTTGTCCCAGCTCTCCTGCTGTGAACAAGTGTCCTTTTGACGGTCTATTTAGTGCCACGTTGTTCACAGTTTGTGCTTTTGCTGTTGAAAATGGCCCCTGCTGTGCCAAAGTGCTGTGTCCAGTGCATGAGGGGGCCACAACATGCCTTCTGGAGCAGACGAGCATCCTGGGTGAGTTTTGTCCAGGCAGGAGCGCGATGCCGTTGGCTGGGAATTCAGTATTAACGAATCGACCGTGCATATTAAGCAAGGTGTCTTTAAGCAGAATCACACATGCAACAAGGTTTTATGTTGACAGTTGATGAAAACTGTGTGGCCAGTGACTCACAGGAACCCAAGTCTCTACCTCCTCTAGGAGCAATTGTTCAGGGTTTGCTAATGCAGTGTTCACAGTGACTAACGCAAATAACAAGAAATGTCTGTATCTATTTCAGAGGAGCATTGTGAAGGGGAAGTGAGAGAGCATGTAAAACCCTTAACACCGAGCCTGGCACATAGTACTTGCTCAATAAGCACTAGCTGCTATTTTTGCCATTAAAGGCACAGAGGCACTTGCAGAAGGCCACACCAGGGATAGGACAGTAAGGGAAGAGAGAGGGGTCTGAGATGGACTTTAACATTTTTTTTAATTTACTGATTTTAGAGAGAAAAACATCAATTCATCATTCCACTTATTAATGCATTCATTGGTTGATTCTTGTATGTGCCATGACTGAGGATTGAACCTACAACCTTGGTGTATCAGAACGATGCTCTAACCAACTGAGCTACCTGGCCAGGGCCCAAAATGGATTTTTAAGAGGCAAATGGGATGGACAGAGAGGAGGATCGTCCTAAGTAGGTGATGAGGCAAGGGCAGGGCACCTAGGCTGGACCAGGCAAGAGGGCAGAGAGCAGTTCAGCTGGGTATGGAGCGATGAGGAAAGGAGGCTGAGGCAGTCAGGGCCGGACGTGCTGGGCCTCAGCGCCATGCTAAGGGGTCAGGCCCACCAGGGCAGGGCCCATCAGTTCACAACTTTAGGTGAATATTTCGTGCCTGGAAGAAGTAAGGCAATGGGGAGCTACGGTAGGGTTTGGGGACAGGGGAGATGGCAGACATCCTCACCTACAAGGGAGCTGAATTAGAAAAACGAACATAGTTTAAGCACTGACCATGCACCTGACAATGAGCTGAGTGCTTTAACAGGGGTTTAGGAGTCATTTCTCCTTCTCTACACCCTGAGGTGTTTCCTCTAACCAGCCTGCTCTTACAGTTGGACAAACAAGTTTGGAGAGGCATTTGGACTCCAGCACCCTGCTTTTGATCTCTCCTTGTCTATCAAGGACTCTGGCCTCCGTGTGGCATGACCGATGCCTGTGAGACATATTGAGGATGGGAAAAGCATGGGGAGGCTGGGGAAACCGAGGAAAACTGGCAGGTGCTGGAGTGGGCCCTTGGGAACAGCCCAAGCCCTGCCTTCAAGGAGCACACAGCTCACTAGCCCTCTGGGTCCCAGTGCCCATCAGCGTAGGCCTGGCACACAGCAGGTGCTCAAGTCTGAACGCCAGCCAGGTGACTCTGGGGACAAGGGTGACAGCTGTGTCCAGGTTCCTGCCCCTGGCTCCAAGAGCCTGAGACTGACCACTGGCACCCCGCCCCTACTTATTCCCACCCAAGGGCATCTTAGGGGGCAGGGCCGGGATACTTACCCACTGCGTGTTCATCTGCTGTGCGCTCACGCACCTTGGGGGCCTTCCAAGGTGGAGGCTACAGGAGGAGGGAAGAGGGCAGGGAGTTTGCCCAGAAAGTCGTAGCCCGCCCCTGGGCCCATGCAGGTCCCCAGCTTCTTCTCACAGCCCAGAAGGCAGAGATTTCCTCAAAAGACCCAGACCCCTTCTTCCTCCTCCCTCCTCAAGGACCCTCTCCTCCAGCAACGCAGGCTGGGCCCTCGGATCCACAGGCTCTGGCGTTTCTCTCCCTGCCTGGGCCTCCTGGGCTGCCCTCACCCTTCCACACAGGTCACCTGGACCAACAGGACATGGGCCGCTGCCCAGGCTGTGATAGGGACCCCTGGGGCCACCCCAGTACAGTGCCCCCAGTGCCCACAGCCCTCACCGAAAGCACCGACTCCAGGCTCAGCAGCAGGCACCCCAGGAGCAGCAGAGCCCTCATGGCGTCGGTCCGTCTGTGGGTTCAGCTGCCTGCCCAGGAGTCCCGGTCGATGGAGCTGACCAAAGGTCCCTGAGGCCTGGGAAGCTGACATTGGTCGAGCCGCCCTCCTGGGCCTGCTGGGGCACAGGCTGTTTGTGGGAAGCCAGTCAGAGCAACTTCCTCAGCAGACCCCCAAGAGCAGGGAGCTGGCAGTTGGGGGGTCGGGGTAGGATGATGAGGAGCTGGGGTCCCCCCTCTTTCCCAGATAGTGGGACTGGACTCAGGAAGAGGGACTTCTTTTGTTCTGAGTCCTATTGGGGATGGAGAGGTTAAGGAGACCCAAGAGAAGCTCCCTGTGATAGTGATCTTAGGATCCATTGGGAAGTGTATTAATTTTCTACTGTGCCGAAAGTGAACCGAAAACTTCACAACTTAAAACAATATCCATTTATTAGCTCGCAAACACGCAGGTTGAAAGTCTGGCACTATGTGACTGGTTTTTCTGCTCAGGATCTCACAAAAGGGAGACCAAGGCTGAGTTATCTGGAGGCTCTGGGAGAAAATCCACTTCCAGGCTGTTCAGGGGGTTGGCAGGACTCAGGTCTTGCATTTGTAGGGCCAACACCACCATTCCCTTGCAGGCTGTCATCCGGGGCCTGCCTGAGCTCCTAGAAGCTGCCTGCATTTCTGGCCATAGGGTCCCGGGCATCTTCCAAGGAGCGGCAGAGGCTCCCCCATGTTGACTCTCTCTCGGGCGTTGAATCTCCTTCACGAGGAAGAACACTGTTCCTTTTAAGATCTCACCTGACTAGGCCAGGCCCACCAAGGAGAACCTCCCGATCTTAAAGTCAGTTGATTTGGGACCTTAATTACATTTGCAGCATCCTTCCACAGAAGCATCTAGATTAGTGTTTGATTGAATTACTGGGGGAAGATAAGCATACACCAAAAGTGGGCATCTTGGGGGCCCATCTTAGAATTCTACCAACCACAGAAAGTGAGCAGAGAAAGTGAATGATGCCCCTGGAAAACGCTGAAACACGGGTGGCTAACATGTGCTGCTGGAGCACAAGGGAGGGAGATGGGGTGAACACGTGTTGTTTTTCCTGCCCAGTGTCCACTAACCTTGGTTCAGTAAGAGCACCCTGATTCTTCCTTTGAGAACCACTCCTTCTTTATTCCCTCTGTGAGTCTCTAGTGCTGCCCACTCTGCCCTCCATCCTAGGGCTGGGGGTGTGGCCTCAGGCCGGCCAATGAGCCTGGCACCTGTGGACTGCAGCGACTGGTTGAAAGAGAAGTGTACATACATACAGAAGTCTGTCCTGTCAGAGGCAGCTTTGGGACTTCCTCGCCAGAGCTTTTGGGAAAAGGGGACTTTCTTCTCCCTGGAGGCGCTAAGAACGGGAGCCTGGAGATGGTGATGGCCATCTTTGTCTCCGCTTGGAGCAGGCCTGCCTGAGAATGAAGCCTACACACAGTGGACACGCAGAGCGAACCAGGAAGGAATGATGAGGGACAACATGGGGGGCACTCTCCAAGATGGTCCTCTGTGATCACAGCTCCTGCGATGAGTGCGCACCCTTGTGAATAGTCTGTGCCTGCACAGAGTCGAGCTGTTCTGTGTGTTCAAGGGAAAAGGGCAGGGGTGATGGTGTTCGACTTGCAAGCCCAGGTCATAAAGGCACTGCGGTTTCTGCTGTGGTGTTTTGGATCATTCCCTCGGGGGGGAAGCCAGCAGCTACGTGGTGAGGACACACCCTTGGCCCTGCAGAGAGGCCTGTGTGGGGAGGAAGTGCAGTTCGACAGCAGTGTGAAGGGGCTGCAGTAGGAGTAGATACTGCAGCCCCCGCCAACATCGGGCCTGCAGCCCCATGAGCCACTGCAAGCCTGGGCCTTCCAGCCACCCTGTTCCTGAATTTTTGTTTTTACTAAGGCATAATTAATATAGTATTTTTGCTCCTGAATTCCTGAACCTCAGAAACTGTAAGGAATGGTCACTGATTGTTGATTGAAGCCCTAAGTTTTAGAGCGATTCGTTACCCAGCATTTGACAACTAGTAGGGATGGATGGATCCCCAATGACTTTGTTGGAAGGCCTGGGTGCTAAAACCAGAACCCTCAAGAATTCTCAGTTACCTGAATAAATAAAACCAATGGAATGCATTTCTGTTAGTTTTCAAAGGAGTCCTGACTGATACAAAATAGTCTGGGAAATGAAGTGGAGACCGAATGTAGCAATTTCTTCGTTCTACTGGAAGAGAGGTCAGGGAAGACTTCCCCGGGACACAAACCCAGCCAGTGGAGCACAGGAGAAGTGGGGACACCTTTTCAACAATTGTTTTCAAAGGTAACAGAAAGTGAAACTAGCTTTAGCCAAGCTCATTACAGTGAAAGCGTCTCAAGTCAGTTCTTGATTGCACCTGGGCACAGACGGGCGACCCAGACCGAGGCCCATATTGACTCCTCCTAGGAATGGGAGGGCCTTGGAAATGAACTAGCCTTCATGATGAGCAAGGGTTTGGGGGCTGGGTGGAGGCTTCCAGGCACACTGAGTAATACAACTTCACAGAAGCCTGGATGCAGCATGTCAGATGGGGAATGTGCTGAGCACAGGGAGCTTTGCAGGAAATGTGAGATGGGCTGTAAAATCCTTTGGGGCCGAAGGTGGACATTCATGGGGATTTGGATGCTCAACATCTGTTCCCTTTTCCTTTCCCTCTTGTCTCTAGTTTCTTTTATTGGGTGGGTTACTCCTCCCCCACTGTGTGATGAAAAGGTAATTTTTAGCAACCCTCTCCCACTGTGGAAGCCTCATGGACCAGGTCGTCCTTTCCCCACCACAGCAAAGCCAGAGGGACCTGTTTAGAAAAAAAACAAAAAGAAAGCCATAGGGCCACAATGGTGTCACTTGTGCTAAAAGCCCATGATACCAAACGTAGATTTAATGCCTGATCTAATTTCAGCCTCATCTTCTCCCAGAAACATAATCTTAATCAACCAGTCTGGACTTTTCTGGTCAAGCACCTGCCACATAGGCCTTCACCATCTCCTATAGAAAGAAGAGGAAATCATCACAAAAACCCTTTCTCTTCTCTTCCCCCGAAGAAAAGACATCAGGCCCCAAACTATTTTTTTATTTTCTTTCACTGAGAGCGCCCCTGCCCCACCCCCTTCCTCCAGTCCTTCTGGTTCATACAGCTCCTTGGAGCACCCTTCTAGTTGCTAGATGGGATGCTGCCCAACTCATGAATTGCTTAATAAAGCCAGTTAGATCTTCAAATGAATTCAGTTGAACTTTTTTATTAGAAAAAAAATAGGGCTAAATTTGGCTAACAAGGGCTCTCTCCCAGGACTGTGAATCCTGAACGGACTGCCTGGGGTGGTGAGAGGTCTGGCAGTGTCAATGTGCCTTTGAAAACCAAGCTTAAGTAAGCAGTAAGGACGTTCAGATTCACCTTTTCACATCGCCAGAGATCTGGTCAGAGGGGCTCCAGGGGCAATGCTTTCTGTGATTTCACCATGTCATCAAGAGCCTAAGATATTCCTTCTTTTTCCTTTTCTATGGTCCTCCGTGTGCAGACCTTCAGGCTGACTCCCTCATAGTCACATAATGGCTGCCACGGCTCCAGAAGTCACACAAACTTCAGTAAGAAGACTTCCCCTTCCAGTAAAGCCTTAGAAATGAAGAAACCTGCCACACAAAAACTCCAAGCAGCCCTCCACTCATGGCTCGTTGGGAGGAACTGGGTCACCTGACACCCCTAAACCAATCTCTAGTCAGGGGAAGAGATCGGCAGCTCACGGGCCCCTTTTTTAGGAGAGCTGCCCTTCTGTGGAAGGAAACACTTCCACACACCATGGCCACAGCCCCATGCTCTGCAAGGACAGAAGCTCCTTTGTTCAGGACTTTGCTCTCTGTATCTCTTCACCCGGCTGTTGGCTTGTAACCTTTAACATCCTCTGTAATGGACTGGTAATCGAGTGAGTGAGTGAATGAGTGAGTGAGTTTCCTGAGTTCTGGGAGCCACCCAGCAAAGCAGTCACACCTAAGGAGTGGAGCCCTTCACAGGCAGGCAGGCACAGGCAGAGGCAGTAACTTGGACTGCGGTTGGCCTGTGAAGGGTAGGGCAGCCCTGCCCTGTGGGACTGAGCCCTTTACTTGTAGGACCCCGTGTCTGAGGATTGCTCTTTGGTGTGAGGGAGTCTCTACACACTCGTCGGAATTGAGCCCAAGAACCCTTTTAGCCCCTCAATATTCCTTTGAGGAAGACCCCTCGCCTTCCCCTCCTCATCAACGTGGACAAAATAAAGATTACCCCAGCCCTGACTGATGCAGCTCAGTCAGTGGGCATTGTCCCGCAAAGTGAAAAGTCACCGGCTCTATTCCTGGTCAGGGTTCATGCCTGGGTTGTGGGTTCGCTCACTGGTTGATGTTTATCTTGCACAATGATATTTCTCTCCCTCTCTTTCACCCCACCTTCCCCTCTCTTTAATACATACATACATACATAAAATATTTAAAGAAAAAATAAAGATTACCCCACCCCTCAGTTGGGAGTGGAGAGGGCATGTGATCCAGACCTAACAAATGGGAACACGCTACCTCTCTCTGCCTTCAGCAATTGGTTCAAGATGAACACCCAACTCAGATCAAGCCATTGAGGGGCAGCCCCTGGATTTTTGCTGTAATCATCAAGATAGAGACTTTCTCTTGTCCTGGCTGGTGTGGTTCAGTGGATTGAACATCGGTTTGCAAACCAAAGGGTCTGCAGGTTCAATTCCCAGTCAGGGCACATGCCTGGGCTGTAGGCTTAGGTCCCCAGTAGAGCACGCACAAGAGGCAACTACACATTGATGTCTCTCTCCCTCTCTTTCTTCTTCCCTTCCCCTTGCTCTAAAAATAAATTAAAACAATGTATTTTTTATAAATTTGGAGAAATATTCAGGAATGAGAACATACCAAACTTTTATTCTTTTTTAAAAGATTTTATTATTTTTTATTTTAATTTTAGAGAGGGAAGGGAGGGAGAAAGGGAGAGAGAGAGAGAGAAACATCAATATGCAGT